CCGTTTTTCGCACTTATGACCGTTGCAGCATCCCCACGGTCACGTGAGCAAAATTTGGAGGCTTGTTAACTGACTCGTATTTATGACAGTCACAGTGTCCCGGGGATATGCAATCCCCTTCTGCGGCCTCCTGACAAGCAAAATCAATGGGGGGGGGGAGCCAAGATTCACTTAACGACCGCTTTGTGAACTGCAGTGATTTGCTTAACAATGGTGACAAGTAGGGCGGTAAAACGGGACAAAGCTGGCTTAACAAGTAGAAACTGGGGGCTCAGTTGTGGCCATAAGTCGAGGACCAGCTGTAACGTGGGTAAATTCAGTCTTGGGTGGGGAAAGAACAACAGCTGTATCCCTTAGACTTATATACCGCTTTATAGTGCTTTTATATCTCTCTCTAAAAGCGGTTTACAGAGCCAGCCTCTTTCCCCCAACAACCCGGGTCCTCAATTTACCCACTTCGGAAGGACGGAAGGCTGAGTCAACCTTCCGCCTGGTGGGATTCGATCTGCCAAATTGCAGTGACTGTAGCTTGCAGTACTGCACTCTAACCACTGCTCACCGAGGCTCCTTGTGGATGCGGGATTGTTGGCAATATCACCTGTCCGTAAACCTCCTGGCGGGTGGAAAACTGAGGCGTTACCTGCTTTTTACCTTTACCTGCTTTCTGAAGATTTTTCTCCCGTCTCTCCGGCTAGAGCTCCACACCCTCTGGCAGAACGAAGAGCGGGCCGCCATCTCCTCCAGCAAGCTGAACGAAATCTGGCACCGCCGGCATGACTACTGGCTGCTGGCAGGCATCGTCCTGTATCCTTTGGCTCGACCAATAGTGTGCGGCTGTGTGTGGGTGCCCATGCCCGCCACTCGGGGTGACGATGGAGAACTGACCTGAGTGAGAGGGGACAAAACAACCTAGATGAGGGAAGACACAGATTTAACAGAGTTGGAAGGGACCTTGGAGGTCATCTAGTCCAACCCCCTGCCCAAGCAGGAGACGCTACACTTACCAAATCTGCAGATGATACTACGCCAGCAGGAATAGGCAACTCCCTAGATAATAGGTCCATGATCTAGAGGGATCTCGACAGACTCGAACCCTGGGCCGTATCTAACAAAATGAAATTCAGTGTAGAGAAAAGTAAAGTCCTACACTTAGGCAAGAAAAACCACAAGTACACACACAGACTGGGTGAAACCAGGCTCAATAGCAGGGACTGGGAGAGGGATCTTGGAGTCTTAGTGGACAACCAGCTAAATAGGAGCCAGCCGTGTGCAGCCGCCGCCAAAAAAGCCAATGCAATCCTAAATTGCATTAACAGAGGGATACAGTCAGGATCAGGTGAGGTAGTAATACCACTCTGTAAAGCCTTAGTAAGGCCACACCTAGAGTCCTGCATCCAGTTTTGGTCACCACACTATAAAAAAGATGTTGAGACTCTAGAAAAAGTGCAGAGAAGAGCAACCAGGATGATTTTAGGGGACTGGAGGCTCAAACATACGATGAACGGTTGCAGGAACTGGGCCTGGCTGGTCTAGGGAAGAGAAGGACCAGGGGAGACAGGAGAGCAGCCTTCCAATATTTGAGGGGCTGCCACAGGGAGGAGGAAGGGGGTCAAGCTATTTTCTAAAGCACCAGAGAAGGAATAATGGATGGAAACTGAACAAGGAGAGATTCAACCTGGAAA